GGACAAGAATCGATCTACTCCAAACCGGACCCGGACGCTTACACTTGCATTAAACTTTAATTCACAATTCATTCAATCACATATTTTTAACGACATAATTCAATCACATAATTTTGACTAACACTCCTCTCTCTCGTCTACTTTTACATCAATCCAAGTTTAGTTATTTTATCTTAAATATTATTTTAATATAAGCTCAAAATTCACTAACAACCAACCATACCTGTTTTTTTCAAAATTAACCATACCAAACTAAAAAATTCAAAACGAATCAAAATATCTTATATCCAAACTCTAATGCCCCGTTTATTTATGATTTTTTTGAGTATTATTTATTGTTATTAATATTGCTATTCTTGGTATTAATTGTCTAATTTATATTATTTTCCAAATTGTCTAATTGTATTAATTGCTTATTATTATTACTTAATATTATATGTATATATATATATATATATATATATATATTGTCCGGTTTAAATTATTTAATCGGTGTGATCGAACCGATCTATGTTATTTACTAAGTGTTGAATCAAGGAGAGACCCGAGCCCGTGCGTCGAACCTGCACCCCCGCACCCATAAATCCGGTCCTATGGTGTTTCTTGGATGGCAAGATAATAACCTAGGGTTATTTCATGAGATTTTCTCCTTCAGGTCATTCTACGCACAACTTTTTATTTTTCCTCTCAAACCATCTCCTCGTAATCAAGCAGCAGACACAACAAAATCTCTCGTTCTCTCATCACCTCCATCGCAGCTCTCTCTCCCTCTCTCTCTCTCTCTCGATCGTATAGCTGGAAAACAAAAGGAAAAATCTCTCCATCTCTCTTGTTAAACTCCATCGCCTTCTCTCGCTCAACCCCCCTCAACTGCAGATCACCATCGTCGTCACTCGCGGCGAGCCTCCCTTCTCCTCGCGTGATTCCGGCAGCAGCAAGCAGACCTCAAGTCGAACGCCGCCGTGTAAGACGCTGCCACCACGAAATTCCCGTCCGCAAGCAGCACACCGTGAGCAGTCCCCGAACCTGCCACCAAGACGTCCCCGAGCAAGTTGTTCTGTCCGATCATCGCAGCAACTCATCCCATCGATGTCCGTTTATGGGAGCCTTCTCCACGAACGGGTACAAGTTGACGGTGTCGAGAACCCATTCATCGAGCAGCAGCTGTGAACCGTGCTCCACCACCGCCAAGCACGTTCATCGTCGGAATCCTCGCACAGCCCGTTCCACGAAGCCTTGTTGCCATTCGTCATCGCCAAGAGCTTTTAGGTTGTCCAAAGCCGCGTCTCGTTCGTTGTTTGTTGCTGAAGAACGACGGCAGACCCCCTACGAGCAACTGCCGGCGAGACAAGCGCCACTGCCGAGTACTCGCACGTGCGCACGCAGCCTATCTCGGCCCCTCCTTCGACCTTCTCGTGAACGTTTCGTGAGAATGGTACATCGAGGCTCGAAACCCTATTTATATTAATGTGTTTGCGTGTATTATGTGAAGTTCTTGTATTATTTTTCGGCATGTTGAATTGGTTATGGTGGTATTATATGAAATCCTACGTGTTCGGTGTTAAGTCTTGATCTAGCATGATGAATGTGAATTCCCCTTGTTATATGTGATTTATTAAGGTAAATGGTGCTCATTTGATCTAATGGTGATGCATATGACATTGATATTTATTGTTGAAGTTCCATTGAGATTGCATGAAATAAGCACAATTTTACGTTCTCTGTCGTGCCTCTGAAATGACCCTCTAGAACTCATTTTCTGAAAATATGCTCTTCATATGAATTGTATTTCATCCTGTTATCTTTCAGTGGGCTTCAAAATTTTGAAAATCCGATTTAAATTGAGTAAGTTATAATATTCACAAAATAATTGTGCAAGCAGTTTTCTGTAAACCCGACAGCATATATATATATATATATATATATACATATATATATATAATGTTTGGCCTATTTTCGATGTTTGAATGTGCTCAAATGTGAAAGTTGTCTCCATGAAATATGTAGCCTTATGTGTTAGCTTCATGTTAGTTCTTGAATCAAGTCAAAAGCATGTTTATAGCATGATATATTCAAAGTTTACTGAGGCTCTGTAGGAGGAATAGTTTTATTCTCGGACTACAACCATGTTTCGAAAGTATGACGAATAATATTGAATTAAATGCCCTTATTTGCCATGATGTCTTTATAAAAGTTGTAGTCTTACTTCTTAGCTTTTTGTTGGTCTTTGAATCATGTCATTTGGAGGTATATAGCATGACTTATGTGACAATTACTGAAGCTCTGTATGTTTAAAAATTCGGTTTCTGACTGCAACTCCGTTATGAATGTTTGCTGAATTATCTCATGGTAAATTACCTTAACTGTTGTCGATCTCTTCATATGAATTGTAGCTGCATGTCTTAGAATTTGTATGCAACTGGAATCAAATTTATATGACATGTTTGCTGCAAGTTATGTGTATTTTAAAAATGCTGCACGGGTTATGTTTTGAAAACTTATGTTGTATTATCGAAAATGGGATTTACATGTTAAATGTGTGCTTATATGACTTATATGAGCTGAGGTGAACTAAGTGAATGTTGTGGTGAATTGTTCATGTGTTGGATAGTTATTTATAGGGCTATTTTGATTAATGTAGGTTCGACGAGCTGAGTCCTGGCCTAATTTCTTGTTTTGTGTGTGATTATCCTCTTCAGTAATCAGGTGGGTTTTATTTGAAATTGTTATGCAGTAAATTTGTTGCCTTCGGGGGAGACTCCTACTGGCTGGGCATCGTTGTAAGACCAGAAGGCTTGGGCCGTGGCTTTCGATATGTCTATCGACAGTAGTCTATTTACATATGTGTGCACATGAGAACGAACTTAGGATAAGAGATTGGGATATTTAATTGATTTCATATATATGCTGCGACCATACATGTCTTTATTTTATGATTATTGATTATTGCATAGTGGTGAGCACCACGGTTTCCATTTGTGCTCACCTCCACCTATTTCTTCACGGATGTAGGTTAAGTATGTGCGGGCACGGCGGAGTGGAGCGAGTGACAGTCGGTCTATATGACCAGATCATTTATTAGTTGCTTCCGCTATCTTGAACTTATTTATGAATTTATGAACTTGGGATGTTATGATTGGGATTAATGAATTTGAGAATTTATGATGACTTGATATAATATTGGGGAGTTGCCCCTTTGACTCTGTGATGGAACGTGGAAACCCAGTTTGGGTATTTATGATTTTGGATGAACCTTGATGAGGTATTTGATTTATGTTGATCTATTGTTGTGACTGATATTTATGACTTGAAATCTTAAGTAAATAGGTAACGCCAAATATGTTTGAAACGAATTTTGAAAAATTAAACTGATTTTTCTGAAAGTCTTGGATTTTCAGTAAATCAAATGTGAAACATCCTCTTAGTCACTTTTTTGGCTTCTTTGTGGTCCCCAAGTGATGGCGATGAGATCGCATTGGCGCACTTGGACAAGTTTGACCCTCTTTGTATTTAGTTATTTATTTATTTAGTATTTTATCCTTTTATTTATTCCCTTTTATTTATTTCTTATGTTTAGGATATTTATTGCTTTAAATAAGTTAGGGTGAGGAGTCTATTTAAAGGAGCAGACTTCTCATTGTTATTCAGTTTTTGACGATTGAAATAAAATATCTCTCTTGAGTTCTTCTGAGAATTCATATTGTTCCCATCATACGTTTTCTACTGCGTCAGTTGGTATCCAGAGTCAGATCGATTCAAGATGCCGCCAAAACGATACAATGACCGACGAGATGCTCATTTGGAAGACTTGGATCGAAGAACGGATGATATAAGGTTTCAAATTGATCGGGTTGATCGTAGGGTTGAAGGTCTCGCAGAGGGTATCGATGAGATTCGGGAAGCTATGCGGATGATGATGGTGCGAGGGACGACGGACCGTGACCCAACAGGCCGGGCGGGTCGCGGCGGGGCTCAAGGTGGATGCGGCGGAAGGGGCTTCGACGGGGCGCACCGTCAACGCTCGCCACATTCCTCTCTCGGTCACGATAGCAACGACGAAACACAGTCGGATATCAACCCCTTCGATGATCGACGTGGCCGCTGGAACGACGACGACCGTGGCGAGGTCAGCGAGGATGACGTCCGCGGTCAGCGCCGTGCAGCGGAGGGCGGCGACTCACGCTAGGAAGCCGGTTTTCGTGTTGATTTGCTGGAGTTCTTTGGCGGTCTCGATGCCGTCGATTTTCTCAACTGGATTGGCGCGGTTGAGACGACCTCAACTTCAAGCAGGTGCTTGCTGATCGCCGCGTAGGGCTAGCCGCGACTCGTTTGCATGGTCGAGCTT